GATAGGGAAACATGAATAAACTTTTGATGTGCAGAATTTTATAAAACTTTACAAACAAAACATTTGTTAAGAACTGAAAAATTTCAAGGCCTGGTGCAGTAGCCTAGTGGCTAGAGCCCTCACCTGGCACGTGCCAGGATCCCATGTGGGTGCCGGTTCATATTCCCGCAGCCCTGCTTCCCATCCAGCTTCCTGCTTGTGGCCTAGGAGGCAGTTGAGGACGGCCCAAAAGACCCTACACTTATGTAGGGCACTTGGAGGAGGCTCCTGGCTCCTTGCTGCAGCTCATCTCAGCTCTGGCTGTTGTGGCCACTTGGGGAGCGAACCAATAGATGGAAGATTGTTCTCTCTGAATCTCCTTCTATTTGTAAATCTGATCTTCAAATTAAAATAAATAAATCTTACAAAAATAATTGCAAAATTTCAACTCATGTTGGCTGAGTGACGTAAACTGGGTTCTCTCTGTAGCCACAGGCAGCACCACACTGCTGGGCAATAGAAACAACAGCTGTTATCAGTTATGCAGTGTGCAAATGTGAGTCCTGTGAGGCTGTATGAAATGCATGAAATCCATCAAGTGTAGCTTCCGTGTTCCGCTCTGATAAGTGAAGTCACTTCTAAGCATGGCTCAGTGTATGCTGTTTTTATTTATAATCCCCTTTTACTGCACCAAGGTAAAAATCCTTTCTATTTTATAAAATGCAGCTACTAGAGAAGCCTGCTGAAAGAAGCTTTTATTTTTATTCTGTCTTTAGATTTCTTTGGACGTATGTACAGTTCATTTTTTAAAAAAAACTCAATTGTTGTTTCTTGTATATCTTATGCAATATTGCGGAGGCAATTATCATGACTTCGATCTGTTCTGGGGAAGCAGAAGTGCATAACAAAGAAAACAGAACAGAGTAGGAACTGAAGATGTTTCGAAATAAATGAACAATTCAACAACTGTCTGTAAGCATCCTTGTAATATTCCAGGATTTTTTTTTTTAAATTCTAGAGTGGGCTGTGACAAACAAAACAGCTTCCAGTGTAAGCAGAGAGACAATTCTAAATAAATAATTAAAATGTGATGATAAGGGAAGGACAGGATATAGGTGAGGAACCTAAGCTTTTCTAAGGGATTAAAGAATTAATTCCTTGGCCTTTATTATTTACTTTTTAGCACCAAGTTTGAGTAGGCACAATCACAGCCTTTGTAGGAAAAGCAAAGGAATGACCTTCCTCTAAGCCACTGAGAAAAACTCCAGAATCAGAATGTCTGGCTCAGCTGTTTTGAACACTCCTGGAAAGCATGTTGTGATATTTGAATGGATGACACATCACAGTATGTAGCAACTGCAGTAGTGATTTCTGTTTCAGTGTGGTCTGAAAACAAATGGCCATAATGCAAGGTGAGAAGAAAAGCAAAGCTAAACGCCTTTCTTCGTCATTTCTCTATTTGGTTCTGTGGTTGTTTACATTTCCACCTGATGACAGAACTTTGAAAATGAATAGAGATGGAACAGCAATCAAAATGATTTACTGCCTGGAGGTCAAGTTAAATATAGGAGAAAGTCACTGCATGATTTGATCAAACCTTCAGGTTTCAAATATTTAAGGTGACATGTTAGGTGTTCCATCTATCAGCACAGGGAATAGTTTGTAACCATTTATGGAAATATAGTTGAAAACAGACTCCATCCGCACAGGTTAAAGGCTTGGTTCATTTGGAAGAGTACAGGAAATGCACTCATTCAAATTTGGCTAAAGCACCACATCACAGGGATGTGAAGATCACGGGCAACAGGTGCACAGGGGAATCTCAATTCATGCAGCAAATTCATCTCAAGTATTTCATGTCAAGTCCTGTTTCAGGTGCTGGAGATGATACACCATAAATGAAACTATTCAAGTCCAGATGGTGTGGAGCGGAAAAAAGTACATAACATGTCAGAAACTGGGCCTGTGGATGAGATTGAGGTGAGGAGGGACAAAATGTTGAGAGAGGATTAGAGCGGAGTGTTAATTTATCTAGCTGGGCCAGGGAAGATCCCTTTTTTTTTTTTAACTGAATAATCATGAAGAAAAGTCACTTTGATTTCTGGGAAAAGATTTCATTACGGGATACAGCAACAAATGAAAATAGCCTGAGGTGTGGAAGATTTTGGAGTGATGAATGACAGCCTTACAAAAGGCCAGTATGGCTAGAGGAATGAATCAGGAGGGGACAGGTAGAGGTGAAATAAGAAAGGGAGTGATGAATTAGCTAGAAGCTGGAATGAGTTGCAGGGGACTGTCTAAGGACAGGACAGGTAGGGCCTTCTAGACTTTAGCTGGGTAGGAGGATTGCAAGCCGACTTTGCAAGCAGAGGAATGATAAGAAACACTGAGAACAGACTTTGGGGAGAGAAAATAGGGGAAAATAAGGAGACCAATTAGGTCTCAATGAATAAATTAGTGAGCAAATGAATGAAAGGCCATTAGGAAGTAGGCACAAAAGAATCCACCCCTGTATGATTCACAGGGCATATATTGTCTCTCCACATTTCCAACTGTTTCTTATTCCCACAATTCTTACTTTTCTGTCTCCTTTTCTCAACTTAGGCCAGTCTGAATTTGCTAAGGTGCAGGTTAGCTGATAATAAGTGGTTCTCAGAACTAGTAAGATAGTTATGGTTTTACTCAGAGATGAGTCTCCAGAACCAACTTGTGTATACATGGTATAAAGGCGTTTCTTTGGTTGTTTACACATCTGCTAATATGAGGTAACTTTTAATTTCTACTAGTATGTAGATCTGGCATGTGGTCTTAGTGCAAGGAGGATAGAGAAAGAACTGACATCTGGATGTTGCTTAGAAACAAGTAATTTAGGCGTTGAATAGTCTACAATGCCTGTGTAGGTCACCTTAACATTAAGTTAGGAATTGCATTTGTTTTCTGTATAAAAAAAATCATGTGTTTCTGAAGAATAGGGATTAATGACTAGTCATATGGATTTCTACCCAAGATATATGTGGAGAATCAATTTTTCATTTTGCCTAAGTGTCAGATGTTTTAGTCTAATGCAGACCTGATTATTTTTCTTCACATTCTTTATGTTAAATACTGAAGTTTTCCAAAACGTCATACTTGTAATTTTTTTTTTAAAAATTATGGGGCCTGGCACAATGACTCGATTGGTTAATCCTCAATCTCCAAAAGCCAGCATCCCATATGGGTGCCAGTACCTGTCCTGGATGCTCCACTTCCCATCCAGCTCACAGCTTGTGCCCTGGGAAAACAGTAGAGCATGGCCCAAGTCCTGGGGACTCTACCCATGTGGGAGATCTGGAAGAAACCCCTGATTTCTGGCTTCGGATCAGCTCAGCCCCAGCTGTTCGGGCCATCTGAGAAATGAACCAGCAGATTGAAGATCTTTCTGTCTCCCCTTCTCTCTGTAAATCTGCTTTTCCAATAAAAATGTTTTTCTTTTAAATGAGGACACATGTCTTCCCTCACTTAGATTTACTCTTTAACAATCAAATTAAGACCTGGAATTACATTAATATTACAACTGAAAAAACACTTTGATTTAATTATTTAGTTTTTGAGCAGACTCATATAAGTACTTTATTATTATTTTCTAATTTTGAAACTCTTTATTAAATTGATGGACACAGAAATCTCTCTTGGTGGAGAAATGCACAAATAAGAGATAAAATAGAATTTCAGGGAGTTAAAAGGCTTCCCAAATCACATCCGTGAACCACTCATCAACAAGTACAACATTTAATTTTATCACATAAGCCCTCATGTGAAATTTATTACGAGCCTGTATTGATGTAAAAGACATGTGCCAAATGTAAATAGAAGGTGATGACTTTTTAAATTAATTTTTTAAATTGGAAAGTCAGATTTACAGAGAGAAGGATAGAAAGAGAAAGATCTTCCATTTGGTTCACTCCCCAAGTGGCTGCAGTAACTGGAGTTGAGCTGATCCGAAGCCAGGAGCCAGCAGCTTTTTCCAGGACTCCCACACAGGTAAGGGTCCCAAGGATTTGGGCCAACCTCTACTGCTTTCCCAGGCTACAAGCAGGTAGCTGGAAGTAGTGGAGTAGTCAGGACACAAACCGGCAACCATATGGGATGCTGGCATGTACAAGGCAAGGGTTTAGCTACTAGGCTATCACGCTGGGCTTGGGTGATGACATTTTAGCCTAGAAGTTTTTCTTTGTGGTAATTATAATTTTCCCCCCTTTCAGTCATTTTTTCTTTATTTTCTTTCTCTCTCTCTCTTTTTTTGAAAAAGATTTATTTTATTATTTTTATTGGAAAGGCGGATATACAAAGAGGAGAGACAGAGAGGAAAATCTTCTGTCTGATGATTAGCTCCCCAGGCAGCTGCAACGGCTGGAGCTGAGCCAATCCAAAGCCAGGAGCCTCTTCGGGGTCTCCTACACGGGTGCAGGGTCCCAAAGCTTTGGGCTGTCCTCGACTGCTTTCCCGGGCCACAGGCAGGGAGCTGGATGGGAAGCAAGGCTGCTGGGATAGAACCGGCACCCATATGGGATCCTGGGCGTGCAAGGAGAGGACCTTAACCACTGCGCCATCGTGTCGGGCCCTTTTCTTTATTTTCTAAGACTAAGATTTAACCTGTTTCCTTGCTTTTCTGGGTGTTTGAGAAAGTATTTACCCTTCTGTGTTGTCATTCTATTGTTCATGTTTTCAATTCATATGATGTGACTATCACCCAGGAAGACCAAGATAACAAACAGCATGGATTGGACACCTACCTTTGTGAGACAGTAAACCTCCCCATTGCAAAGAATTTCTGTTAAAACCAAACTGTATAAGAAATTTTATGTTATAATGCACTAGATTTTGTATATTTCTTAAAAGTACCTGTTTAATATTTCTGATTAAATCTTCCCCTACAATCTACATGTGAAACTTACTGTAATTCATTGGGTTTTAGGGGTTTAAGGATAAAGACATTGTCTACTGGAGCTTAGAGCCTGCAGTAGAGCAGGTCCTGGGCTTACTTGCTTGGGTCCGCTCCTTTGAAGTAGGCGTTGACCGTTTCTGTGAACGCTGCTGCTACAGGGAGGGTGTCCTGGGCGCCCATGGTTAGGGGGCTGGGTCCCCTGGAAGAGCCTGCCAGAAATGAAAGCTTTTGGTTATTATGTGCGTAGGACAAACCTTACCATGTGAGGGACTAAAAGCTCATCAGAATAATTAAGGGATAAAGTCTATCATGAATTCAACATTGAGCTCAAGTATTTGAAAGAAAATATTTGGCTGGTTTACAGATAAACAGATTTGAAATTAATTCAACTCTACATTTTACTACAGGAAAGACAATCCAAGCGGAAGAACAAAGTTGCAGGGGTTTTCAATGTTTTTTCATAAAGCATGAGGCAGTATTTGCATGACAGTTTGTACAGCAGATGGTTAATAAAGCAATTTATTAATTTTCTACTTGAACATTCAACTTCAATGCCCAACCTTAAGATTTTTTCCTATTTCTTTGTTCTGAAGAGAACTAACAACTAAGTGGTTCCCTGTTACTTTTGTCCTTCTTGAGCTATTTCTATTTCAAAAAGCCCAGTTAGTCTCAGATCAAGCAGGCTCAAGTTTACATGTCCAAAAACACACACAAGCAAAAATGTACACATTGACTCAGCACAAGTACCTAAATTTTCCAATCCACACTATTCTAAACAGCAGTAGCTCTCTCAGTCATTGAGCACAGCTGCACATCAGGAAATGCACTAGGAGCTTTGCATGCGTCATCTCAGCCATGCTCTGCATCAGCCCTGTGGAACAGGCACAATTCTTCTCATCTTACACCAGAAGAACCCGAAGCTGAAACAAGTGTCCTGGCCAAGTAAAATACTTACTTCAGTGGGAAAATAAAAATCAAAATATTAATTTGTCTTCCCATGAAGAATATGTTTTCTTACTACATTACAGATTTAGTGGAATATTTCCTATAACCTGAGTCAAGCAGATCAAAGTTTAGGGCTGATGTTTTTGCTATTAGCATGTGAGCTCAGTACCAAGTAGTAAAGCTTTCATAACCACATGGCATTTACTTATGCCACATGCCAACTGCCTGCCCATCCTGCCAAACAAAAGAAATTTACTCCTCCCCACCCACAGCACGGACTGTGTGATTTTAGTTTCGTGCTTTCTTTCTTTTCCCTTCAATAACTTCCAGGTCTCTTCTCCAGCCTTGAGACAAACAAAAGAAAAGAAAACCAAAAAACCCAAAAACTTCCCTCAAGAAATTTTCCTTTTTTTGCATTACAGTTTAAATTAGTCCCTTCTATCATCTCTTGGCTTTCCATATGCCAGATGTGGTAATTACTTCAAAAACACTTTAACATCCACTACTGTATCAAGCACTATTGGAAGTTCAGCATGCTAATATCACTAGGATCGTTATCAGCAGCAGTTACTGCATTGACATCATGAACATTTTACTTTACTATGAACATTATTAACATTATTCCCATCAGCATCATTTGGTTAGTGTGGGTTTTACATACACTACCAAGGTGATACGCTACCAAAAATGACTATCAACCTCATCTAACAGCTGATGGGATCAAGGCTGTAAGAATTCACACAAACTGCTTGGTCTTCCATAGTTGGTATGTACACGTTTCAAGTATTTAGGCATGTATGAATTCAATGTTTAGACCCTGAGGACTATGTTATTTTAACTCCTTAGTGGTCAACCACAGTACCTGTGAGAACAGTTATGGTACTAGTGAATAAATCTTAAGTTGGGGTGTGCATGCCCAAGTCTTTGTTAGTCACAGGACTGTAAACTTTAAAAAGAGGAAACTTTCTTCATGGATTATGCACAGTTTCTAAAACTGAGCCAGAAACACATTGACTTTCATTAAATACACATTTAATTACCCATTGTTGACTCATCGAAGGGTAAATTTGTAAATAAAGAAAACATGATTAAAAGAGGGCATTAGTTTGCATTAATATTACAGATTTTTTTCTTTTTACTCATTTTAGTTCAAATTTTTATTGAGTGAACTACTAGGTTCTAGAGGAGAATAGCTCTCTTGAGATTCGGTTAAAAGTAGCCCAGTGTGGTGGTGAGAGGGCTCAATTGTTACCTTGATAACAAGATCACAGCCACCATGTGATTGGGTCTTGAGTTTTTTATGAGACATAAATATTCACTCAAATAATTAGAATAATTCAAGAAATGATTTAGAAGAATGGCAAAAGCAACACTCTGCGAAGGCCTTTACTGATGAAGGAGTAGGGGTTGAAATTGACCTCAGAAGAGGTGGAAGGAATACAGCCTGGCATAGACTTGGGGGAGGAGCTGGGCCAATATATGGCCCACCGAGAAACCCCAGGGAGTATGGCATTGTTCATGTGTGTATGTGAGTGTGGTGTTGACAGAAGAATGTGACACAAGAGCAAAAGAGGCTGGTGGGGTGAGAAATAAGGTCATTAAGAGCTAAATATAAACTATTTAGAACAAAATTTCTTTATTTCATCAGTGATTTGAAGGTATTAAAAACGAGAGTTCCCTGTTGATAAGCTCACATAAATTTATGGACACTTCTACAGCAAAGGGCATGTATCTACAATTACATAACTTGAGGTAGAATTATACATATCAGGATCCTTAGGAAGCCTGGAACTGTTTTAAAGTATCCTCCATGAAAAATGACCTCTGTAGTGCTTGGAAAAAGAGATCTTGCATCTGTTGGTTCAGTCCCCAATTCCTGCAATAGCCAGGGCTGGGCCAGGCTGAAGCCATCAGATCAAAACTCCAGCAGGTTTCTCCTGTAGGTGGCAAGAGCTCAAGGGCTTGTCATTACCTGCCACCTCACATGCACGTTACTGGGAGATGAGACTTGAACCAGGGACCCTTGTCTGGGATGTGCGTATCCAAAGTCCTGACTTAAGGGCTTCACCAAATGCTACTCCTGTCATCAGCTTTCTGTAGGATCAAATCTCCCTGCTGTTCTTGGGCTGTGCAAATGGATGGCTAACAGAAAGATCACTGAAAGTGAGGATTGTAACACATGTCTGTTTGCGTGCTTTGCTGTAAAGCTCATCTGGTTACCAAGGATGTGTTAAATGACTAACTCCAGACTACAAAGCTATCTGTCTCTCATGACTTGTTCCAAAAACCTGTACTCTATGTGAACATCTGGTCACTACATCAGCATTGTAAGGGAAATGGAAAAATATAGAACAACAAAAATTTGCAAAACCCTTTTTTACATTAAAGAATCCACACTTTACAGCTGTTTTTCTTACATGCCTGTCTATGGTATTTAATATGCCATTTTGTGAGTTTAGTTTTTTCCCATTTCTTGTTGTTGCTTGGTTTACTTATTATTTTCCACAACTATATAAAATTCTACCCACATTCTACAAATGCTACGTAATTTCTAGATACTGAGTTAAACCTATTTTTGTATGACTTGATCTTCTTTTTCTTTTTAACTACTTCTTTAAGATAGAGTTTTGCTTCCACAAAGTGGGTTGGCCAGAACAAGAGACATTAATTTCTAAGAATATCAAGAAATCTTACGTTATACATAAGCACAATATTCAGAGGCAATGCTACTCATAATCAATGAATGTACCTGTTCCTCACGATACCTGTTAGAATTAGTGGAACATGGTGCTTAAATCAGAGAGATGCCGAGAAATTCAAACCCCATATTCAAAGATTACACGAGGCCTGGGAATTGTTTCTAATATTTGTAATAATAATCCCAGATGGTGACTTAGAATACTAGAATTCAAGGCCAAGGACTTGTAAGCTAATAGCTCTGTGTCCTTGGGAAGTCAGCTAACCTTGGGTTCTTTCAACCACAAAACAAAGGCAATAGATTGTGCACTTTTTGTTTTAGGATCTGGTTACAGGATTTTAAAGTTTCTCCAGTAAGAACTTTCTGTGTGAGAGAGAGAGATAACCTGCACCGAAGACAGTCTCCCTTCAGTGGAGATGAATCAGATCTGTCACATATACCAAACTTCTACTATGTGCCAAGTAGCGGCAGGGACACAAAGATGTAAACCTTTGGAAAATAAGTCATGAATATGGGAAAAACTCAATAACCACAGTATATGCAAATAAGTTCATTCTTAGAAATGCAGTGAATGTTTAAATAGCAAAAATAAGATGGTACAACAAAAGCATTTCTTCACTGAGCAGTGGGACAGATCAGAAAAACTACACTGGGATCCTGATTTTTCACTTACTACATAGTGGCTATTGCATCTGTTTGTTACTTGTATAATGCTTGTACCAAGAGGGGATAAAGAAATAAATTGATGATTTGAATAGTTAATCTTGATTTATTCAATGAGAGTGTTCCTACAGCACTCCGGCATCGTGTGCAACGTGCTGAGGGATATACAGAAATGGATGCTGCTTGTTCCTCCCTTCCTGGAAGTTACAGTAGGGAAGATAACTATACTGTTAACACAAATGAAACATGCGTCCCTCTATGAAGTTAGGCTATTTTAATATCACAATTATCTCAGTATCAGTCTGTATTTATTCATGTGGCTCTATGCTTGTCCTTTAACAGTATCAAATATCAAATTGCAACAAACTTCATATTCCTTATACTTTGAGCAGATACAGAGATTTAACATAATTATATCACTATCCCAGTGCCACTCTGCTGCCACGTGGCCAAGATGAAATTTGATGATAGGCTTCCTGGATTCATCAATAGTAATTGTGGTGGCAATTTAAACATTTACAATTCTTTCTAGGAATTACTCAAGGGACTTTATTGCTGTTAATTCCTAATTCTTACAACTTCACTAAAAGGCAAATTCATTACTATTCCTATGTTTTATGATTGAGAGAAAACTGAGGTTTTGAACCCTTCAGCAGCCTTGTCACGGCCATCCAGCTCATAAGCACTTGCAAATCTGCGCTGCTTGGTCGGATGCCATATTCTTCCCTACATTACCCAAGGTGCATAGAAATCAGAATTACCAAGGGTGGATTTGTGCTATCCAGAAAAGGACGGTCGCTGGTATGAGCCTACCGATTTCTGACAAAATAGCAATTCTAGGGTTCTGGGAGCCAGTGGGCATGTACACTGAAGGAGTTCCAAGGAAACGGAAAAGATCGCTAG